CATTTATATTCCCACTTTAAATCAGCATGAACCTATGACAAGCTACAGTCTGTTTGTACCAGATCTTAAAATCAAACATTTGATGTCTTAGATAGAAAGTCGAAAGAAATAGGTATCATACCTCATAAGGCCTCAGATGCAATCCAAACCTCAATTCATCCCTGAACTGAGCAAAATTTTCCTCTATGTCAGATATGGAATTGTTAAGATTAAACTTAAAGAGGATCTGAGGTATCTGCCAAATGGAAATAGATTGCGAAGGGACCACAGTGACTCCCCCAGGAAATTTTAAAATCTCAAACATAGATGGCTGCCCAAAAATTGCACTTGTCAAGGTCAGATTTGATTGCTGAAGAAACAGCTGAATTAAAGATGACTGCAGCAAACTTAAGGAGACTGAATTTATTGGAATGTTTATTGGATCAGAGAGAACACCCAAACACAATATCTGTCCAATTAGATGCACCTGATTGGTGCATGGATAGAACAGCCACCTGCTAAGCATAGATATATTTCAGTCAAAGTTCTTACTGTATATCTGAAAAGTAATACAAATAATGTAACCAGAGGAATAAATCAAACCTTTGTATCGGGAACACCTATTTCTGCATTGATGTCATATTCTAATCTTCCAATGTGCGGAAAAAGCTCCAAGACTGGCTTGTGCAATCCGAAGTATGCCTGAACTGGAGCTGCAAAGGGAAGAAATGGATTTTATGAGCATGGAGTGTCAAAGGAAAAAAAGCATTTCTCAATGTAATTACATAGCACCAACTCAAATTTTCTCATGTTGGTAAATAACAAGATGCAGTGTGTGAAAAAGTCCACATAAAATTGTAATTCTTCAAAAAAAGATTTGGAACATTTCGCATGCATGTTATAAAAACACAAGGAATGATTGAACAAAACTAGAAAAAAAACCGTAAGGTATTTGGAGTTTCTTTGGACAAAACAAATGTGTTATGTTTTATATTTTCATTGTACAGGACAATATATAATATACAACTTTACCTACTTCTTATGACATTTAAAGCTTAATTTTTCTGTTTTTAAGAGCCTTAAATCCAAAGTTATAAAAATAATTTGAAATAATAAATAAAAGTACTATAGTAATAAATATATAAACTAATAACAATGAAACAATATTTTTTTTTTTCATTTTACAATTTTGTAAATTATCAATTATTAACTAACTAATACTTTAAAGTATGTTTGGGTATAACTACTAAAAACTTGTTTAAATAACTAATTTTTATAAAAAAAAAAAATTAAATATAATTTATGAAAGAAATGAAAATCAGTCTCCTCCTGTCCTCCTTTCTTCTCATCTCTAGGCTACTGTGTCAGAAGACAACACACTCATTATCCAAAAACGTTCTATCACTCCCTCTTCTTTCCTCTCTTCATAATCATCCTAAACAACCTGCCCATCCAAAACCACTCATCAGTGCTGCACAAGAAAAGACCAGATCATGGTTCACAGACTATGGGTACTAGATTAACTACACAGCATCAAGAGTGGTTAATTGTAATTCAAAAGTCATTCTTTTGAATGGTTGCTCTTTGTATTGTTCTATTCTCTTTTTTCCCCCCTGATTTTGCCACCAAAATATCATTACATTCTCTCATGGAATTCAGTTCATTAATATTAAGAAAACAAAATGCCAGCTACTAACAGTCTGTAGAGTGTTAAGGTGAGGATCTTAGCATTTATACCAACGGAACTTAGCAATCTATGCTATACAATAAGAAAGCAAAATTCCTCCACATCAAAAGATTTGAGTAAAAGCATCTATTCATAGAACATTGAGGTTCCTTACAAGTTGAGATCATGTGTTAACTTAGAGCTTAAGGAAAGCTCATTTATTAGACGAAGAGCAATGATATACGGTGTGGCTTACAACAAAACAGTCAAAGCAGTTTAATTGGAAGAAGGAAAACCATCAAGTCCCCATGACTGGATGAGAGGAGCTAGGGTTAAGATTTCTAAATTTGACATTCTAACATAGCTTATTCAGAATCAGAACAAGGACAGAACTGACCCAAACAAATCCATAAGCAATATATACACTAGATGTCAAGTATGCATTTAACAGAACCATATATTTCCCAAACATTGCTCCATGGAATTACTAGAAGAATAATGATCTCTAAATGCCATATTTGGCATGATTTAGACTCCCAAAGATTCCCCCATCTAATACATCTTAGATTGTAGTGAAATAATTTTCCAAGGAACGTTTCAAATAGTTATCATCAATATGAATTTGCTTTACCAAAAATTATGTACAGAGAGACATTAAGTCTTAAGATTTTGTAAGATAGAATGCAAAGAAGAGAACTTATCTTAATCTGAAATCTATAGTTTGTGGCACCAAAAAAGAAGACTGCTCCAGACATTGGCCAGGGATTTGACCTATTAAATGAATTTTCTACGAGAAATATTGAGCAGTCAAACTAATAGAACTTCCTGGTAGCTCATAAAAGCAGCCATCTCAACTACTTCAGCATTGCTACCCTTGACACTAAAAAGAAACACTAAACAGAGACTAGTAAGTAATTTAGTAACCTTTGGGAAAAACCCTGGTGCTTCAAATGCACTTGATTGGTCATGCAAAACCTTTTATACGAAAAAAGAAATAACATAATTGTGCAGATAGCTTTTTAAGTACTAACTAAGGGAAATCTACAAGTGGAGAACCTCACATCAATCTAACTTCCTTACCTTGTTCAGCTATATGAAAATTACCTACCAACTAAAGCATCCACTTCATAGAAAGTTCCAGACCAGATATCAACTATAAAAGCTGTACCAATTGTGACAAAAACTAGAGAAAGAAACTACCACACCTACCAATTTACCAAATAGCAAGTCCTGACACAGCAGATATCTACTATCACTTCTACCAGGTTAGCAGAATAACAACTTAACAACAGCATTGAAATAAACTTAATTTCTTATAGATTGAAGCTTCTAAACTATAATATGCCTTAATCTATATTCAGACGCATCAAAGTACTTTATTATCATTTATCACTTGCCCTCAGATCACGATTACTGAAAAGAATTATTCATCTCAGTTTGCAATTCTATAATAATACCTACTATATCAAGGAACTGACCACTCAATCCCAATCACATATTCATCCAAGGAAAAGAACTAGTAAACCGATGATGAATAAATTGATCATCGAATAAAGATGCAGCCAAATACACCTGGTAAAAGAACAACAAGTTAATGAAATAAAACAACCCCATCTGTCCGGAACAGAAGAACAGCCTACTTTAAAAACAGCAA